TATATATATATATCAAAATTAATGCCAAAAAATAATTGTAAAGATTTTAAGTAAAGGCAGGGCCAGTAATTTTTCTTTGTCTCAGCCTCCAATGTTGTGGTCCTCTATAGCAATAGTCCTACTAACAATTCTGCCTCTGTTTGAAATGTTATTTATCACAATTTTTGGAGTTAATTTTGATTTTTAAAAAATACTGCCTTAAGTAGTATTTATCTTGGTTGTTGAGTTATTTTTTACTGTTTCCTTTTTTTTTTTGCCTCCTTACTTTGGTATCCCAGGCTGTGTCTAACTCATTCACCCTAGGCCTGGCCTATGCTAGAAGGAATTTTACTTTCATCTATGCCAAAGCACTTTTTAATTTCTTCAAAAAAGAAATGATCACTAAAATGGAAAGAACTTAAGTGATAACTCTGATTTTTATTGTATCTTAAGCCTAGAGCCCCAGTTCTCATATTTTCCCTCCAGAGGGAGGAAGAGATCACATGATTTCACTCCACAGATAAGAAAACCAAGACATATAACGGTTCCGTGACAAAGTTAGTACTAAGTTTCCTGGTGTTTCATGAGAAACCCTAGATCAGATGCTTCTCTAGGTACAAGTTGGAAGGAAATTAAAAAGCATACTAGGCCGGGTGCAGTGAATAAAGCCTATAATCCCAGGACTTTGGGAGGCTGAGGCGAGAGGATTGCCTGAGCCTGTGGGTTCAAGACCAGCCTGGGCAACTTGGCGAGACCTCATCTCTACCATAAAAGTTTTGTGGACAGAGCCAGTGCTTTTGAATGAGAAAGTGTACTTGAATTCCCCTCTGGCCACATACAGGCTGGGCGGCCTAGGGCAGTTTTAAAGCCTCGGTTTTCTCATCTATCTTTCATTGTTTGGGTTAGAAGAAAAAAGAGAATGAAGATCATTAAGTGGTAGTGATTGGTTTCATAAAGATTACCACTATCTTCAAAACTATTTGATTCCCACTGCTCTAGCAATTATATTTCTAGGAATTTATCTCACAGTTATAATACTGCACACGTATGATAAAGTATGTTCAAAAATGTTCTTTGCAGCATTGTATTGGCAAAACAGAGACAAAATTTTAATATCCAAAATATGGTGCTTGACATGCTGAACTAAAGAAGCCGCGGAGTTTCTGGGATCTTCTCACACCCCATCTTTCAACAGCTTCTCTGCCAGAGCACAGGGAGAAGAAGTTGTTTTCTGAATCTGCCTTAAGTCTGGACCCGCCAAAGAAGAAAACAATTACTTCTGGCCCCTTCCTGAGTTTTTATTAACTGAACTCATATGGCGTCGACCTCCTGGACCCCATCGATCCTTCTGCCTCAGCCTTCCAAGTAGCCAGACGTGTACTACCATGCCCGGCTATTTTTTATTTTATTGTAGAGACGAGTTCTCGTCAAGTGGCCCAGGCTGGTCTTGAACCTGCGGGCTCAGGCAATTCACTCGCCTGGGCCTCCCAAAGTGCTGGAATTACAGGCTGAGCCACCAAGCCCAGCGAGACTAAATAAATTATAGTACATTCATACGATGAAACACCATGTAGCTAGTAAAAAGAGATGGCTCTATGAGTATTGTGTGTTTAAACACACACACACACACACACACACACACACACACACACACACACACACTTATTCCTTATTTGTTACTGTGGAAATAGGCTTGGAGTAGGTATGTAGGCTCAGAATGGTATGTATGTTACCATTTCAGTTAAAAAATTAAAGTAACTATATTACCTATATTCTTGTTGATAAAAGAGTATCTTTGAAAAAATACACAAGAAGCCAAAATACACGCCCAAGGCCAGCTGGGCTTCACCTACAGCCTACACTGTGGGGAAAGCAACGGAGCAGTAGGATGGACTGGGGATACATTTTTATTGCACATATGTTGTACTTTTAAATTGTTTGACATGGGCATGTAATAACCTACTTACAAACATAAATTCGTTGCTGGGCACACTGCCTCATGCCTGCAATCACAGCACTTTGGGAGGTGGAGGTGAGAGAACTGCCTGAGTTCAGGGATTCTAGACCATCCTGGGCACCATGGTGACACCTTGTCTCTATAATAAATCAAAAAATTCACCCGGAGTGGGGATATGCACCTATGGTTCCTGCTACTTGGAAGGCTGTGATAGAAGGATTGCCTGAACCCAGCAGGTCGAGGCTATGATGGCAGCTAGCGTGCCACTGCACTCCAGCCTGGGCGACAGAGATTCTGACTTAAAAAATAAAATAAAATAAACAAATAAATTTTAAAAATTAAGAAAACATTCATTCATTAAGGAGAAAATCTAATTGTACATTATTTTTGACCTTCTGTAGGACTCTCGTAATTTGGGAAACAGAGTGAAAGAAAATTTGCATCCATAAAAAACAGCTTTCTTGCTCTTTCCATGACACACGATTTGCTTTTTCAACAATAGAGGAATCCTTTACCATACCAGAGTCTGTTAAACGAATGCAAAATAAAGAGTGATCTTCCATCTGTATACAACAGTACTTTGCCCGTGCTGCAAAAGCAAAAACTGTAGGTAAAATAATGAGAAATGTAGCACCCTGAAGATGGGGAATCAGTGCCCCAAGACCGGCCACGCAGAAAATCACAGCCACAAACATCCTGAAAACATCCTCGGGGGGGGGTGAGGGGGCAGCTGTTTTGTTCAACAACTTTCTTGGCCAGGGGAGGCAGATGGCAAGACAGCCTCACCACGGCTCCCGAGCGCCTGGGGATTTACAGAGCTCTGTCCCCAGGGATCGTGGGACAGCCAGTCTTCCATGTTTTCATCCTTTCTAAGACACCCGACAGGCTGTTTTTCATGGTGTGTTCAAGCCGGGAAAATCGAAACAGAGAGAAACTTCCCCACTAGGAATGGAGAGACTGGGCAAGGAAATGATAAAATTGAAGACTGGGACGACTGTCGCTTGAAAGCCAGTTTTGTTTTCAAAAGGGATGCAGCTGGGCAGGGTGGCTCATGCCTGTCATCCCAGCACTTTGACAGGCGGCGTGAGGATTGCCTGAGTTCAGGGGTTCGAGAACAGCCTGGGAAACTTGCCGAGACCTCGTCTCTACAATAAATTAAAAAATTATCCGGGCGTGGTGACGCGCGCTTGTAGTTCCGGCTACTTGGAAGGCTGAGGCGGAAGAATCACCTGAGCCCAGCAGGTCGAGGCTGCTGTAGCCGTGGGGGTGCCACTGCGCTTCAACCTGGGCAGCAGAGTGAGACTCCCACTCAAAAAAAAAAGGATGCATTTTACAATGTAGCGCATTCCCCTGCTCCCTCATGGCAGGTGCTGCGGTCAGAAGCGGAAGCTTTGCTCTGAGAACAGGCACTGCTCGTCCCAGGGAAATGCTGGCTCCACGCTGAGGGGCTCGGGGCGCTCTTCCGTCACCCCCACGCCCCTCCAGGCCCAGCAGGGACCCAGGACTCGCGAGGGACGGGAAATATCTGCGGGACGGTGGGGAAGTCTACGCGTGGGGGGAGTGCCAGGCAGTCGCGATGGTCGGTGTCCCCATCCGTGTTTTCCTGGAGGAGGCACTTGAGGCGTTGCTGTAAATTCCCCCCACGTGTCAGGCTTCGGGAACGCGGCCTGGGGGCGGGGACCGGGAGGGGGGCGTGGGAC